GGGGGGGGCCCTTCTTCGGGACGCAGAAGCGATCTGGCGACAGCTAAGTCGCCAAGATCGCTTCTGTTGTAAAGCCGACAGTCGGCTCTACAAGTTTAAACAGAGTCCCGGCGGCAAAAGTCACCGGGAGTCTGTTTAAACAGCCCCGATGCTGGCGACGTACACTGTACGTCGTCAGTCACAAAGGGGTTAAAACTGAGAGCCCATTCACATATAGTGCGGTGACCTGCGATGTGTCACACAGCATCAACACTAGGACACGTAGAAAACAATTGTCTTCTATGTGTCCCAGTCACACTACAGCGTGCTGCAATTAAATGCAAACATGCTGCATTTTATCACAGTGCAATGGATCCCGCCGCAGGAGCGGAGAACTGAATGACATGTACACAGGCTAGTGTGAATGGGCCCTTAGATGGACTCCATAAAACAAATCGGATCACATGATGACCAAATAAAGCAACTTACCCTCCTTTACCATTTGGTCTGATGCTTCCTTTGTATGTTTTATGATTTGAACTTTCTGGGTTCCCATCTGAAGGGGAACCTTGTTTTACTTGAGCGACCTTTCCAGAGCAAGTCAGCTCATTGAATTGAATTGGTTTCTCCATTCTTGTGAACAAATAAGTGTTGAAATATCAGCGCCACATGATGACGATGTGTTTATATTCAGCTTGTGTATGAGCTGGGTGTAGAACTAGTACAAACATTTTCAACAAAGCTGTTTAAAATCCCTGCAAATGCATTGTAAAACCTTGGTGTACATACTGCTAGGCATTTGGTGACTCAAAGCGAAGGTGGCAGAATGCTCAAGGCAAGAAATCTCATTCATCTCTATGGCCCCTGTTCTTATCATCCGGGTACCTACAGTGGGAAGGAGGTACTGGAGGGAGGACGACTGTTGGGCTCATTCCTTGGTGATTTTGTATATAGTCGGGGTGTTTATGTCTGTGCATAAGTGCCTTGTGTATAAACCCACATAGACTAAGAGAACTGTATATATGTAAGCGGTACAAAGCTAGGTTTGAAGGATACGTGCACCTTGTGATGAAGTAGAATGTTGTGCTTTTTTTGCTCCTCTTACCTGGTTGACTCAAAGCCAAGAAACATGCAATGATTTTTTTTTTCTGTATTACACATGCTTTCTGTCCAGTGTCATGTGTCTTTCTGTCCCTGCAAATGCATTGTAAAAGCTCGCTGTACATACTGCTCTTACACAAGCTGAAGCCCTAAATCGACCAGCCCTAAGTCCCCGTTCACATCTAGGCATTTGGTGACTCAAAGCTAAGTATGACAAAATGCTCAAGACAAGAAATGTCAGTCATCTCTATGGCCCCTGTTCTTACCCGAGCGTTTTGATGCAAGCAGAAAATCACCTGTCGCTGGAAAAAGTACATGAGCTACTTTAATGGTCCCTTAGACTTCAATGGGAAACTTTCCATGACAAAACGCTCAGGTGTAAACCAGGGCAGGCCATAGAAATGAATGGAATTGAGTGTTCGGTTGTGCTTAGCTTTCAGCGACAAAGTGCTGTAAGCGGGGGATTTAAAGCTGGAATTCGGTCACTGTGGGTTCATCTCACAGATTCCATTAATGTTCTTAAACTCATAATTTCAGTGATAAAAAACGGAAGGTGGACCTGCCGGAGAAGAGCGGCGGGAAGTTCCAGAAAAAGCTGAAGAAAAACAAAGACAAGAAGCAGAAGTTTGGAAAGTGATGAGTCAGGGCATTGCTGATGTATGAGGGGTGCGCTGTGATCATCCTGTAGAGTCACCAAACGGAGACCATCATCCGGGTACCTACAGTGGGAAGGAGGTACTGGAGGGAGGACGACTCCTTGGTGATTCTGTATATAGTCGGGGTGTTTATGTCTGTGCATAAGTGCCTTGTGTATAAACCCACATAGACTAAGAGAACTGTATATATGTAAGCGGTACAAAGCTAGGTTTGAAGGATACGTGCACCTTGTGATGAAGTAAAATGTTGTGCTATTTTGCTCCTCTTACCTGGTTGACTCAAAGCCAAGAACAATGCAATGATTTTTTTTTCTGTATTACACATGCGTTCTGTCCAGTGTCATGAGAGGCTGCAGACTTTAGGCATCCCCAGAAACACTTCAGCTATGTTCACCTCGTGTGATCCCCGGCAGCCAATTGTGAGTATGCTACTAAAAGCATGCACCTCTTAGGGGACTCTGAGATGTCATATTTAATGCAATTCACTCATTCATTTACTGCAGGGCTTTTCTCAGTAAAATTCTGGAGTCGTACAAAATATTGAAGGTTTTATGCTTTTATTTTTATTGTCTGTCTCTAAATATGTTTTCTGATTTTGTGGAAAGTTATATTGGTATAAAAATTGGCATCAAACTTCAGTCCATTAAAAACTTTTTTCTTGTTAACCAATAATCTCAATCACTATTTCTTTTAGAACAACAAGTATTACGGTTTGGTAATGAGATGATACACGCTGCCAGCAACACACTAGATATCCACGCCTGTAATACACATCACTCAGGTGCGCTATAAGGTGCAAAACACTGTGCTTACTATAGGGAAGCTGAGCCCTGCCGCTGGAAGCGACTGCTGAATTCTGAGTGTGGTCCGCATGAAAGGTCACGTCCAAGCTAACACAGATTGGTCAATTTCTGATTGTCGAAACCTTAGAGGTTTATCCTGACACGTCTTCTCCCGGCAGGGAGGGTTTTTGGTGTTGGATGGTGACAGAACACAATGTTCAAGTTATCCAAATATCTACACACATTCGTGTGTCAGCTTTCATTAAAGTGACACTAAACTCAGGGTATTTGGATGCATGTTAAAGATTTAACTCCTAACTATTAACGTTACTGGACCTTATTTGTGTATCACTCGGCTGAAGATCCTCCAATCATCTCTGAATTGGTGCTGACACTGTCCTTCCTTCTGGAGGGGGGCTACTTTTGTTCCCCATGGTCCCTGTGTGTGTTGTAAAGTAGTCACCGCTCCAAACTAACTCCTGTGATGGACTACAATCTCATGTTTATTAATTTGTATTGAGATAGTAGTCCATCACAGGAGCGAGCTTGGAGCGGTGACTACTTTACAACACACACAGGGACCATGGGGAACAAAAGTAGCCCCCCTCCAGAAGGAAGGACAGTGTCAGCACCAATTCAGAGATGATTGGAGGATCTACAGCCGAGTGATACACAAATAAGATCCATTATTGTTATTAAGGTACCTGAATGCATTTTTAAGATTGAATTCCCGAGCTTAGTGTCACTGCAATACAGACCGTGAACTGCAAGAAACATGGAGATGGCCACTGCAGTACGGACTTCTCATTCTGCCAACGCTGGCCATCATACTGAGCCTCGCGTTTCAACACTCTGAGGCAGATAGTGTTTCTGCCAGACCAGTTATTCCAGCCTCCGCTCCTATAATTTCTTTCAAGAAAGGTTTCATGTAAAGAATATCTAAACCCAAAAATGTAATATAGGACACATTTCCAGCCCTTGGATGTGGTGGCTGCATTAGGTCTTTTTCTCTTTATTGTCACCTGTTGATCCTGTAAATATCACACTTATTGTAGCCGGGTGGCTACTTTTGTTCCCCATGATCCCTGTGTATGTTGTAAAGTAGTCACCGCTCCAAGCTCACTCCTGCTTGAGATTGTAGTCCATCACAGTTGTAAAGTAGTCACTGCTCCAAGCTCACAACACACACAGGGGACCATGGGGAACAAAAGTAGCCCCCCTCCAGAAGGAAGGACGGTGTCAGCACCAATTCAGAGATGATTTGAGGATCTACAGTCGAGTGATAAATAAGATGCATTATAGTTAAGGGACTTGAATGTATTCTTAAGATTTTAACTTCTGAGTTTAGTGTCACTTTAAAAAAAGGAAACTAATGCAGCCAGAAGACTGGTAAGCTGCACTATATCACATTTTTATTGGTGGGTTTAGTTCTACTTTAAACTTACAACATAACGGACCTTTGCCATTCTAGACCCAGCTATAGTTAACTTGGCCTTAGGTAATGTGTTTATCTTTGCTCTCTTTAAGCTATGTACACACTTTGGCGGTGGTGCGGTCAGTCCACCTGGACCAAGGTCACAGTCTAGTTACAGACGCATCCTCCCTTCTTTCTATAGGGCACTGCAGATTCTTGTGTTGTCCAACAGACACCATCCATTGATCTGTGTTTGGTGCTGTGAGTACAATGTACAGGCCCTGATGGAAACAATTTGGATATGTTTATAGCTACTGTATTGGCTCGGTGAAGACACAGCTGGCCGCATAAGTATATACCCCGCAGGGGCTCTGCTACATGTGCAGCTTTCATTTACACTGCTGCAAGCCAGGAATAGCCCATGACGGAACACATCCCAGGGATGCTTACATGTTTCTGTACAATCAATCATGGGAGATTTCTGGCTGTAATCTATCGCAGCTAAAAAGAAGCACATGGAATGGAGCCCTGACCCTGCGGAGTGATCAGCTTTATACAAATATATATTTATATGCAATGGCTATCTACAAAACATACATACAGCTCCATATTCTACAACACTCCTCACCTACATTAACCCTTCGTCCTGTGGCAAGGTTGTTTTTTAACATTAGCCCCATTCTTGGCCGTGCAGCCCCCGGTCTTATCTTCTCAGCCGACAAATCTCCGACGTGACTATGACCACCTAGAACTCTCAGACCCGACAAGATATATAAATGTCCTTTATCCGATTGGTCAGTGTGTGTTTCAAGTCCATCAGAGTGTCCAGCCCCTGCACTTTGCTGTTACGTCCACAGATCATTTGCTTGAAGGATTCCTGCTCCAGCAGCGTCGTCATGTTTTGTAGGAAGTATCCTTCACAGGACAACACCAGCTGGGAGGCATTGTGGACCTGAATGAGAGAACACTGGGTAAGGCCTTCTGCTACAACTGAAATGTTCACTTCCTGTTTTTTTTCTGTGGCACAGGAAGTGAGGGTAAATCTTGTTCTGTATATAGTATACATTTCAAAAGACAATGCGGATGTGCTGCACATTGTAATGGCTGCACGTACCGATGCGATCAGCTTACAATCTGACCAGTGTTTGTGTGAAATTCTTTGGGTCTGCGTCTAGTTTATATACAGATCTGTGGACAATTAAGTGCGCCCCCTGGAAGTAGTTTTATTTGCCAATATATTAGATTAAAAAACTACCTTCATTCCGCACTAATATCTCTACTGGTGCTAGACATAAATCTTTGGAGCTTCTGGTACATGTGCACACACAATGCCTGGGATGGTGCTTGTATTTTGTATGTGATCGGAGCTGTCTTATGACAGCACAAACAAGGGTGGCTCTACCATGTGATCGGAGCTGTCTTATGACAGCACAAACAAGGGTGGCTCTACCATGTGATCACTGTGATCCAGTCATAATCGGGATAAACAGCAAGAATAAGCTATACTATAAAATATTGTGACGTGTAAGAAATGCTGCAAGGATTGATGCTGATATCATGGATGATTGGCAAGTAAAATATATAGCCGGGGGAAGCGAGTTAAAATGCAAGAGCGGTCACTCAGTGCGTGTCCATACTGCAGTTCACTGTCTCCGCTTCCTACTATGCAGTACTTTACAACGGTTACTTTTTACAGCTCCTGCTCATTTATGTAAAGGTGAACACTCACTTCAGATGCACAGTTTTCTCTCTGGGGCTTTGTACCGCTGTGTCCAGATAAGCAAGCTCTTACTTTCCCTGCCCTCCCTGTGTACAGCTTTGAGTCCATTCTTAGTAGATTGGAACATTGTGCGGGTGTTGATAAGCTCTTTCAATGTCATGAATGCCATTATCGTCTCACCTTGGCGTACTTATAAATGCTGACGCAGTTGTCGATGTCAATGTTCTGGGAACACAAGATCTCGCAGTGCCGTTGTAGAGCGTCGAGCTGAAAGTGACTCGCTGCAGACAGGAGCTGAAAGGATAAGACGAGGAATATAACCCGGGACTACTAGAGCAGTCTCAGTGGTAAGCATGAACAGGAAATTATACATCTCGGGGGGGGAGTTCTGTGCCTCTACGCTCCCTAAAACACTACATGCAACCCTTCTGGAAGCTGATCTCTTCTTCATGTTTATGTAAAGCAGTTACCACATAGTAACAGATTGCACGACCCTTAGTCATCAGATATAACATTTTTATACAGATGGCACACTTTCACGCACATATTTTAAAGGGCGTTAATGTTAATCAAACTTAACCTGTCATGCTACACATTGTGATCGGCCTTTAAATAATTTGTCTCCACCCCTCCCCATAGTTCATGTTTTCCTCTATGTAGCTAGCACCACTATTCTTCATTATGCTCCAGTCTGCTTCTCAGCCACATGTCCTTTGCTGAGTGGATCACATTATGATCTTTTGACCTATCCTATGTTTACTGTTGTAAAGACCTCCACAGTTTGGATTAAACTTCTCAACGATCCTTAAAAGAGAACTATGGGGTAAGTGTTTTCCCCCCATAGTTCTCTTAAGGGTCACGGAGGACATATACTAACCTCCTCCCGTGATCCAAAGCTCAGTATATCGCGAGCTACAGTTTGCTGTATACTGAGACCGCCGCAGCCGGGACGGATCCCGACATAACTGTCTGGATCCACCCAGCTGCGTGATTGACAGCAGGCTCTGCCTATCTAGAGGCAGAGCCAGCTGTACCCGCCCCCTCCCCCGTCCATTCCTCCAGTCAGTGCTGGAGGATCAGAGAGGGGGAGGGGGGAGGAATCCCTGTGGGAA